CCCGCCCCGCCTCCCCCTCCCGGTCCCCTGCGGCTCCCTCCGGCGTACAGGGCTCCCGGCTGCAGGTGCTGCCTCCCATCGCCGTTTCGAACACGTCCCCCAGTCTGCGGCCTCCGCCGCCTCTGCCGTGGCCTGGGCACCCCCGGACGTGGCCGACCGTTCCTAGCTTCACGGCCGCGCGAGGGAGGGGCTGCTCAGGACGTGCCTGGGCCCTGCGTCAGGCCCGGCGCCCCTCGCTGAGGCGGCCGCCCCCGGCGAGCGTCAGCTGGGCATCGCGTGGCCCCACCTCTGGGCCCCGTCCCACCCATCCCCTCTGCTGCTCGCCAGTGCCGCTGTCCAGCCGGCCGGGCCTGGCCCCGAGGGCGGGCAGCGTCGGCGACCCGACCGCACCAGCAAACGCTGTGGGAGGAGGAAACGTCCGTGCCAGGGAGGATCCTGAGGAGCTGAACACGCCGCGGAGGAAGAGACACGAACTGGTCGCTGGTTTTTAAAATAAGCATTTGCTTGTGCGCACAAGAACTGGGGTGCTGGCTAGAGGTGCAGCGGTGAGGGGACCCCCAGCGACAGAGCGGAGAGCAGAACGGGCGGGTCCACCGAAACCCACGGCCGAGGGCCCGTGGCGCCCCGGGCCCCTCCCTGGCCAGGCTGGGGTGCGCTGCAGGGCGGCGACAGCTTCGCAGTGCCCAGACTCACCCCAGAACGCAAGAGCTGCCGGCTTCAAACCTACGCCGGTACACGCAGCATCTGTCCAGATGAGCTGAGAACGGAAGGGCCAGGCGGGGACACTGACAGGACAGCGACCGCGCGGAGGGCTAGCCGCCCCGAGCAAGGGGCCCCGAGGAGCTGCCGCGGGCTGCGGGGACGGGGACCCCGAGGCGAGGGCCCGCGAGTCCCCAGGGGCGGCGCCACGTCGAGGCAGTGGGGGGACGTCAGACACGGGCGGGACGAGAACCTTCCGGCGTCCCCGGGAGGAGGCAGACTCCGTGCGAGGGGTCAGCGGGAGCGGGAGCCTCGAAAGGCGGAACCGGGCCAGATACGGTCAGGCGGCTGCGCACCCCAGGGCCGGGCCGTGGCCGCTGGGCGCCCGGG